GGGATGGCATTTGGAGGGTGTGTCTTTCACTTGTGGTGCCCCCTCCCCCACCTGCCCACACCATGTAGTAAGCAGCTTTGGTTCACTGTGCCCTTTTGCCATGATGTTTCTGTTTTGGAGCTAATTGATCCTGAACTGAAAACTCTGAAATTTTGAGTCAAATTAAACTTTTGTTCCTTTAACTTGCAGGTATCAGGTATTTTCTCTCAGTTAAAGGAAAGCTTACCAGTACAGCTGCTATAAAAACTTGTTTGGTTCTTACGTGAACACAGGTCTTCTTTCTCTAGAATAATGCACAAGATTAGCTCTAGACCTTGGGCTGAATTCTTCAGTCTCCAGTGCGCAGATGCCCTGTGCACACTTCCAGATCCAACCCTCTGGCTGACCATTGTATGCCAACCTTAAAATTCCTTATACATTTGTTTATCTTGTGTTATATCTGTTTCTCTAGTAAAACACTGACTGGTAAAGACTTTGGTACTAGAGTGGAGTGGCTCTAGAAAAACAGAATTATAATGATGAAGTTTTTTAGTGGCTTTAAGAGTTCATAGAGTCAGCTCTGTAATTCAATGAGACCTAAAGACATCAGGATATCTCTCCTAATTCTGTAGGGGATACTGATAATCCATGGAGTGAACCGTTTAAACTAATATATTATGTAGATCCATTTGATTATCCTAATTCAACATGATACATAAAATTTGTGAGATCAGGAATTCAGCAACATCACACATAAAATTTTTTAGTATCTTTGGCAGAGTAGGAAAAACGATGCTGGCTGGTTTGGCTTAACAATCTTTGAAGTCAAAGATTCAAATTCCCAGCTACAGACACAGATATTTAAACATTTCTAATTGTGTTCCAAAAGAAAATCTCTTTTAGCTACAAGACTGAGATTGCAAAAACCCAAACACACTCCCTCATAATTAGACTGGCTGAACTACAACATAAGCTGTACACATTCAACCTTATGACTCAGGAAATCTGATAATACCTGGATCATACTAGGGTACTCAAGTTGCATGTTGACATGGTCATCCATGGTCTTCAGTTCCCACTAAGGCCGAGGAACAGGCCAAGAGCTTCAGATACCCTTCAAGTTTTCAATTCCTGCTTTAGTGTTTCCTGGTATTTTCAGGAAAATACTTTCCTGAAATATATTTTTCAGGATACCCTTCCTAGCAGGCATCTACGGTCTTATGGGTACATCATACAATCAGTTGCCAGAGAAAGAGAAGTGTAGGGCCTGGTTTATGAATGGCTCTGTATGTTATGTGGGTACCATGTACAAGTGGACAGCTGCAGCATTACACCCACTTTCTGGGATGTCCCTGAAGGACAGTGGTAAAGGGAAATCATGATAATGGCATAAATTTAACACTGTGCTTGGAGATTTTGAGCAGTGTACTGATACATTTTGCCTGGAAGAAGAAATGGCTAGATGTGTGGCTGTATATTCATTCATGAACTGTAGCCAACGGTCCAGTTGAATGTTCAGGAACTTGGAAGGTACATAACTGGAAAATTGGAGATATATTTTGGGAAGAGGTATGTGGTTAGACCACTACATATGGGCAAAGGATGTAAAACTATTTGTCTGCCATGTGAATGTTCCTCAAAAGGTGATAGCCACAGAAAAGGACTTTAATAATCAAGTGGGTGAAGATTACCCACTCTGTGGACAGTGGCCAAACTCCCACTTTAGCCATCCCTATCTTGCCCAATGGACACATGAACAGAGTGGCCATGGCGGCAGAGATGGAAATTATGCATGGGCTCAGCAGCACGGATTCTCACCAAAGCTGATCTGGCTACAGCCTCTGCTGAATGCCCAATAGGCCAGCAGCAGAGATCAACAATGAATGCCCCATATGGCACTGTCTCAAGTTACTTTTCACTCATTGCTGGGACAAAATATGCAACACCCAAAATTAAGGAAGGTAAGGTTTATGTAGCTCAGTTGCTGAAGGTTTTAGCTTATACTTGGCTGGCTTCCAGGCAGAGAGCAGCAGTTCATGACAGCAGAAAACAGTTAAAAGCTAAGGGAAGGGCAGCAGCTACAGATTCTACCCAACCTCTCCCCTTCCTTATAAACAAGCTACCCAGGAGCTGGGAGTGTAGCACTCACACAATGGCCACACCCTCCTCTTAGATAGGATGAGGATGTTTACAGACTAAGACTCCTGGATCTCTGCTGAGTCAATTAAACCTCTAATCTTCTCAAGTTGACACAATGTATCAACCAGTACAATCCAACCCTTGTCAACCTGGCAACCTGATATTTCCTTAATCCAATCTCCATGTACATAAACATGCTTATTAACATTTTACAACTTGAACACTGTATTACATTAGAGCCACATTTTGCCCTGAGCAGCTCCCCCTCCAAAAGACTCATGCACATCCCTTTATGCAAAAGGCATTTTAGTCCATCTCTAAGAGTTCCCCAAGTCCTAACAGTTTCAGCATTGCTGAAAAGTCTGAGTTTCAAGTCTCCTCCAAGATCTAAGGCAAACTCTTAGCTGTGAGCCCCTGTACAAATGAAAAGTTAAAACACTTTCAACATTCAATAGCACAAGAAAAACATTACCATTCCAAAAGGTACAAACAGCGGGATACAAACAAACCATTGGGACCAAAGCAAGTCCAAAATCCAGAAGAGCAAATATTAAATCTTACAGTTCTATGTGGAACATCCAAAGCAATCTGTAAGGAATTGTGAGCTCCCAAAAGCCTTACATGGCTCCACCCCTACTGCACTTCTGCTGGTAGTTCCCATGGCTTTTCCCTGGGGCTGGTTTTGCTCCCTCCTTGCAGCTTTTCTCAGACAATCCATGCACCTGGCTTTTCCAGACTTTTAGGGTTTCCACTGACTAGGTTTCTCTTTCACAGCTTTACACACTGCCCTTTCAGGGGCATACTGCCTGGCCTCCCAGGCATTCTGAAATCTAAAACCAACACCACGTGGATGATGCCAAGGTCTGCTGCCAGCTGGAACAGTAGCCAGGCTTTCTTCTCTCTCGCTGTATGGGTCAAGTACATGGATCGCTGAGCAATCTGACCCTGATTCTGAAGAACAAATCCTTTATGCTGGCACCATTCTGGAATCTGGTGTGGCCACCACCTCCATTCTGGAACCTGGTGTGGCTGCCACCTCTATTCTGGAACATGGAGCTCTGCAGCTTTCTCCTCAAAACAAAGTGCTTCACCCTTGTAATTCTTAGGCTGCAAATTGCAAGAACCAGCCACCTCCTGTGATGTCCTCAGAACATCTTTTCTATTTTTCTGTTTCTCCTGGTGAATGGAAATCTCAGCTCTATCTTTGCAGTCCACAGCCTTCCTGGTGTTTCCTTTCTGTTCAAACTCACAACATAACTATTCCACTGAGCTTAATCTCAGTCTCAGGCAAAGACTCTGGATAGAAGCAAAATGAAGACAAACTTTCTACCAAGCCATAACACAAATCATCCCCAACCAACAACCAAGGCAGTCCCTCTTCCCAGCAGAAACCTCACAATCAGCATTCTGGTCTTCTGTACTCTAACCAGAATCTACCATACAAAACAGCCAAAGGCAGTCAGGCTCAGGATGCTGTGGTTCGATCCCCACACCTCAAACAAACCAGACCTGCCTTGAAGGCATCCTGAGACTGAAAAAAAAAAAAAAAAAAAAAATCCTTCTGCCCTTTTGGGGCAGGGGAGATAGCTCAGAGAATAAGCACTTCCCCGGCAAGTGCAAGGGCCTCAGTTCAATCCCTGGTTCCAAAAAAAAAAAAAAAAAAAAAAGAGCCGAAGGCATTCTAGCTCTTCACTAGTAGGCAACATCTCCAAACCTTTCCTATCTCTTCTCAGAAGCCATTCCTAAAAGCTGATGCATAACATGGTCAGGTAGTCACAGTAATAACCCCACTTCTGTGGTACAAAATTCTGTCTCAGTTACTTTTCACTCTGTTGCTGGGACAAAATACTCAACACCCAAAAGTAAGGAAGGAAACTGCTTAGCTCACAGTTTCTGGAGGTTTCAGTCTATACTTAGCTGGTTCCCAGGCAGAGTGGCACATGGCAGAGAGCAGCAGTTCATGGCAGCAGAAAATAGTGAAGAGGAAAGGGAAGGGCAGCAGCTGCAACCCTTATAAACAAGCTACCCTGGGCTGGGAGTATGGAACTCACACAATGAAAATGCCCTCCTCTTGCACAGGATGATGATGTGTACAAACAACGTTTCAACCAGTACAGGCACCATTCCACAAGATGATCATCTATGCCCTGGTAGCAGGTTGATTATATTGCACTACTTCAATCATGGAAGGGACAGTGCTTTCTCCTTCTGGTATACACATGTATTCTGGATATGGCTTTGCCCTCACTAAAAGTAATGCTTGTGCCAAAACTGTCAGTCCACCATCCATGGACTCACAGAATGCCTTATGCACCATCATGGAATTCCACATAGTATTGTATGTGACCAAGGAACACATTTTCCAGCCAAAGAAGTAAGGCAATGGGTTCATGCTCGGAGAATTCACTGGTCACATGTTCTTCACCATCCAGAAGCAGCTAGATTGATAGAAAGGTGAAATAGTCTTTTGTTTTGTTTTAGGTTTTTTTTGTTTGTTTGTTTGTTTTGCGGAACCGGGGATTGAACTCAGGCCCTTGAGCTTGTCGGGGAAGCGCTTATTCCACTGAGCCATCTCCCCGGCCCCTGAAATGGTCTTTTGAAGACACAATAACTTATAGCAACAGCTTACAGGGCTGGGTAAGGTATTTCAAAAGGGTGATATGCTTTCAATCAGCATCCACTATATGGTGTGTGTCTCCCGTGGCCAGGATTCCCAGGTCCAGGAATCAAGGTATGAAAGTAGGAATGGTACCACTCACTATTACCCGCAATGATCCACTAGCAAAATGTTTGCTTCCTGTTCCTGCAATCTTGTGTTTTGCTGGCTTAGAGGTCTTAGTTCAAGAGAAGGGAAGGCTATCCAATGATACCACTGAACTAAAAGCTAAGACTTCTCCCTCTGGTAATTGTAGTCTCATGAAGCCTCTGAGGAAACAAGCTAGATGGGGGATCACTGTTGCCAAGAATGACTAATCCAGCCTATAATGGAAAAATTGGACAACTACTCCACAATGGAAGAAGAAGACGAAGGAGAAGGAGAAGGAGGAAGAGGAGGAGGAGGAGGAGGAGAAGAAGGAGGAGGAGGAGGAGGAGGAGGAGGAGGAGGAGGAAGAGGAGGAGGAGGAGAAGATGATGATGATGATGATGATGATGATGATGATGATGATGATGATGATACAATGTAGGAAACCCCTTACGGAGCCTCTTGGTATTACCATGCCCTGTGATTAAAGTCAATGGGAAACTACAACAACCCAATACATGCACAATGACAAATGGTTCAGAGCCTTCAGGAACAAAGGTGTGGGTCACTCCACCAGAGAACAAATCAACACTTGCTGAGGTGCTTGTTGAAAGCCAGGGAACATAGACTGGGTAGTGGAAGAAGATACTTCTAAAAACCAGTTAAGCTCCATGATCAGCTATAGAAAAGAGCTGATAAAAAAATAATTGTATTATTTTTCCTAACATGTTTCTAATGTAATACAATTTTGATAGACTTAACATTGGCTTTTATTGTTAAGTCTGTGTTATAATGCTCAAGTTATGAAATGATAAGAGTGAGCACTGCCCAAAGAAAACTTACCTTCCATTCTGTCAAGGGAATTAGTGTGTTTTCAGTTTATACACAGAACAGTTATAACATGTTAGGTATAATTATAAGTGTGTCTTTGTATCTGAAGACTAGGTTAAAGAAATGTGTCTGGTTGCCAAATTGACAAGGGGTAGATGGTACTGGCTGACTGATTGTGTCATCTTGTGAAGTTTAGAAGCTTAACTATGTTGGCTTAGAATTCTACAGCCTAGGGTGAATAAACTCATCCTGGGGTTGCTTGTCACTTGGACAGTGTAAAGGGAAAATGAAGAAGGACTGACTAGCTTCTTTGGAAGAGCTCCAGAGTTTGGATTCAGCTTGGACAGCGTCTGGCTTCTAGTGTACTATTCAGCCCGGTGGCACAGATCCTTCAGCCCACTGGTGCATGGTTTCTGGCTCAGACCACTGAACTTTGGGCCTTCCCAACACAGATCCTTGATACAGACCTGCATGAGACATTGTCATGGTCTCTTAGCCTCCAGCTGGACTCATGCAGGACATTATTATAGGATCCAGGCCCCCACCTGGGTTCTTTGGGTCTCTAGTATATGGACATATTACTCGCACTCTTCTACATTTGACTTTTTGAGTGAATATTATAAAATAATCTTATAAGTTATATGTTCTGTATTAAATCTGTTCTCTTGAAAACCTTGACTAAAACAACAGCACACAATGTGGGTAAAATTGACCTGTTTACATGTTGACATAAATGCACATCCCTTGCTGTTTGCTGTACCAAGTGGGTGAACAGAGAGATTGCTTCCTGTATTCCCTCAGTAAACTACTGGGACACACAGTTGGCTAACATTAGGCTAAAGTACATATTTCCATTAGAAAATATGGCAAGGGTGTCTTTTATCCATCATAATGCCCCTTAAGCTAGGAAACGGAAATCAATCTTCTGCAAATAAGAAAAAGACTAAAAGATGGAGGGACGGAGGAATTAAAAAAAAAAAAAGAATTAAGATATATACATGAATCTACTCCCCACAGTAAACATAAACACTATGTACTGAAAACATGCAAACATAA